AGAAGGCAAAAATACTAGTGAAGCAGATTATTAAAGCTCCGGGCGTCACCCAAGCAGGGCTGCCACTTGCATTAGATGTATCTGTGATCCTAGAAGGTATGGGTTGCACACTGTGGCAGACACAATAGAAGGGGAGCGTACCCTTAGGATTTTGGTCCCAACTCCAGAAGGGGGCAAGAACTCAACATACCCCCTTGGAACAACAGCTCCTCACAATATGGAGCCTCTCAAAAAGGAACAGCATATCATGGTAAGAACTTATCTTGCTAGTAAAGGGGTCTATTGAGAATATATTCCATTGATCTACCTCTGCCAGGGCTCAAAACTCCCACTTTGACTAAATGGCAAACCTATTTGCAGCTGAGAAGTTCCTTGTCCACCAATCATTGGTAGAAATGTGGACACTAGTAGGTCCTGGAGAATATGTAGATTCTCCAAATGTCCCCACTCCTATTCCTGTGGTGGCCTTTTATGGCCTGTAGAGAAGGAATGGGGAAAATTCCTGCTAATGCCTGGTATACCAATGGGCCTAGTCAGGGCAGCCAGCCCACTTGACTATAGTCCCTATTCAACCCAACACCGAAACCTTTGGATGGAAACAGCCGGCGGGCTGTACTCAAGAGCAGTTTGGCTGGTGAGCACTCATAATAAGCCCTGGCTGTTAACCCTTTGCACAGACAGGCTGTTCTAAATACTTTGCACTAAACAGGCTGTTTCCAACCCTATGGCTTGGAAAATGGGAAGCTGAGTTGTGAATGATCATGAATAAGCCCTTTTGGGGTCAGGATATGTGGAAAAATATTTGAGTTCTCTTGAAAGACCCTGGAGTTGTCCTCACTGTCTTCCATATCCTGGCTCATAAAGTACCAACGCTCCCTGGAAATCAGGAAGCTGATACCCTAGGTCAGATACCAGTCCTAGCAACTGCCCTTTCAGTAGATACAGCAGATTGGGTGCATAGAAGGAGTGACCAGTATAGTGCCTGATAGGGATGGCATATTGCCAAGGATGCCAGATTGTCCTTATAATGTAGTGACTTGGTTAATGCTGTAAAAGCATGACTTGTGTATTCTAAACAATGCCCAAGGTAGGACTGCCAAAGGAGTCTGAGGCTATCCACGAGGAGGGATTGGCAAATTGATTGTATTAGCACTCGCCTTCCTTCTGAGCGTTCTAAGTATGCCTTGGTTTGTATGGATACGTATCTGACCTAACCCAAACTTCCCCTGTTGCCACACAAACCAGGCTACCACTATTAGGGGATTAGAGGAGCTGAGTACCAACTACAGATAACCTTGTTGAATAGACAGTGGTGGGGATCACATTTCAAAGGTTATGATATGCAAGAGTGGGCAAAAGAACATGACATTGGATGGAGGTGCCATCTCCCCTATCATACACAAGCAGGAGGATTTGTAGAAAGGAAGAATGAAGTATCAAAGCATCAGATAAGTAAATCAAATATTATTTGGGTTGGCCAAATATTAATTTATGATATCTTAATGTTGTATCCTCTTTAGTAGATCACAAAGGACACAAATGAAGAATATTCTGAATGATTTGACCGCAGCCTATGGGACTTAATAATAAAATCAGTGGTTTGGGTCATGAGGCTTTTGGTGGGAAAAAAAAAATATTGGTACTTAATTTGGGGATCGGTATCTTGATCTGTATTTTCTCTTGCATGTGCTTATGTCATTGCTGCGGTATTTGCCTACAGTGTAGCTAGATGGTTGCCCAATGAACTACCTGCATGCTAACAAGCAAACCTGCTGACCGCTCGGTAGGATGCCAAAGGTGAGGGCACATGTAAGCTTGTAGAGCTGGTCAGGAAGGTGGTCAAGAGGATGTGACAGCTGGTTGATCCTCTAGGGGGACCCAGTAATCAAAGGCTCTTTATTCCCTCCCCTGTTTTTGGTATGTGTGTTTTGCCCTCTTCCCACATTAGAAAATACTTCAAGTAGCAGCCTTGAGAGAGTACTGTGGCATTGAGGCTGTATGGACTCTGTGCCTGAACCCTGATTAAGGCCTCTAAGCTCTTAAGGTTCTGGCAGGCAGGTACGGAGTGCTACTTACTCCTCTTTGCCACCACCCAGGACAAGCCTGGTTTGTAAATTCTTTGTTGATGCAAAATGAACAAATCTTTTAAAAAATTTTAAAGAGAAAGGAAAGGATTTTGTTTGAGCCCAAGTTAGAACAGCTGACTGGCATATATCTTCAAGAAGAAAGTGCTCCAGAAAAGGAACATTTGGTGCAGGGTCATATATGTTTTTTACAAACCATCATGCCCGAGGACATTCCAGAAAGTTGATCTTATGTTTTTATATTATGTTTTTAGCATAAGCAAGGCTTATGACTTTTATGAGAACCAGGGAAGTTTCCTTGTCTTATCATGTGTTCCAGATGTTCCTTTTTTTTGGGGGGGGGGGTCACCTGGGTAGCACAGTCTGCTAAGCAGCTGATTCTTGGTTTTTGCTCAGGTCACGATTTCCTGGGGCCTGAGATGGAGCCCTACATGGCAGTCTGGGCCAGGAGTCCGCCTCTCTCCTCCTGTTGTGTCCTCCCACCACCCACCCCCTTCCTCCTCCCCCCCCGCCCACCCCCCCCCACTTTCACCCCCTTCCTCCCACCCTCCCCAAACAAATTTAAATTTATTTTTTTTTTTTAAAGAATGCTCCTTTTTGGTTAATCATTCTTAACAAGGCAGCTGTCCAGTGTGTGCCCAGGGCAGAAGTAGAGCCCACCTTGATAAACATCAAAGTGTAGCTTCCTTAGGATTCCAGAAGCAGGGCCCACAAACATTAAAAGTCGGAAATTTCCCTTGCTTGTTCAAAGTGCCACCTACCAATCTGGAACGGTCTACCTCCTCAGTCTCTCCTTGCCCTCTCGTACAGAGGGGCCACTTTTGAATTCCCTCCGGGGGAAATACCGGCGTTGCAAGCCAACAGACTCCAGCGGACCAGGGCTGTGCACCGCACCCTCTACTGTGGTTCTGCCCGACTGCCCTAATACTTAGACACCCTCTAGTCTTGCTTCCAGGATCTTTGCCAGCCTAAGGCGGCCTCCACGAAGACCGCAGCATTCAATGGCTGCTTTGTCAACCTGCAACATTTGGGGCCATCCCAGGTGTGAACCGAAAACCTTCCCCTCATTCCAGCCCCAGAAACAACCAGCGCACGACCCCCAGCAGCCGCCCGCCCGTCACGGTAAGGCGGTCGCAGGCGAGTAAAGAAGAACCGTTGCACGGCGCGGGTAGGCTCCAAGAGCCACGCGGGACGTCTCGCGAGAGGTCGCCCAGCGGGACGTGCGGCCACTTCCGGCTTCTCCCCGCCGCGCCTCTCTCTGAAGACCCTGAGGCGGCGCAGGTGGCGGCGTTCCCCGGGTTCCCGCCTAATGGTCTCCAGTTCCCTGAAATTCGAAGATAAGCCGTGCACGCCCGTCCCGGGTTTCAGGTAATATTTTCGTTCACGCGGTTATTTAAAGGAAGCGTCTGCGCCGTGAGGGGTAATTGCAGCGTGCCTGGAACGAGTCGGAGCTGTTTGCTGAGGTAAGGTCTGGACCAAGACAGTATTGACTCCAGACGAGGCCTGACTTGCGCTGATTAATAGTGTCGCTTTTCAACCGCCGGGCCGAGGTGAGTTTCTTCTGGTTTGCGCTGTGGCCTGTGAAAATTATTTGGTCACACCTGGTTTGGGCGACCCTCCCCCACCCCGACTCTGCCAGAAGGGCCGCTGACCTCCCAGTACGGTGCTTACAGTAGGCCCCTGGTCCGAGGCACTCTGCACCTGTCTCGGGGGTGATTTGAGTATGTCCATCGGCCCTGCAGGTGGAGGAGGGTAAGAGCTAGCTCGTGGCTGCTGTCCGTGCTGTGAGCCAACCTTGAGATGCACTTCCTACTTCAGGGCTGCTGCCATTTTGAATTCTTTTCTTGCAATAACCAGTAGATTCTTAGGCTTTGTAATTGCATGTCCTGTGAGTGGTTTGAAACTTGTGTGACTGCCACAATGAGTGAAGCCAAGAAAAGCGAAGAAAACAAGCCAAACAAAACAAAAAACAGAAGAAACAGGGAATGTAAAGGGGAGAAGAAAAGGGGAGAAGGCAAGAAACCCGTAACTCGTATCTTCAAGAAGATAAGAGAAGGTGGGTTTACTGTGTCCAAAAGAATAGACTTACTTGGAGGCTGGGAAGTTTAGAAGATAAAGCAGGGGAAATCTGAAAAGCAGGAAAAAAGGCAAAAACATGAAAAAGAATGGAGAAAAGATGTCCAGATGTTTAATAAATGTTTTCTTTTTTTTTTAATTTCTTTTTTTTAATTTTTATTTATTTATTTATGATAGTCACAGAAAGAGAGAGGCAGAGACACAGGCAGAGGGAGAAGCAGGCTCCATGCATCGGGAGCCTGATGTGGGATTCGATCCCGGGTCTCCAGGATCGCGCCCTGGGCCAAAGGCAGGCGCCAAACCGCTGCGCCACCCAGGGATCCCCTAATAAATGTTTTCTAACAGAAGTTCTAGGATATTAGAGAAAAATGAAGTGGCAGAAAATTAAATAATTCATAAGAGTCCCAAGGAAGGAAAAAGCAGTCACCAAGTACCAGCCCACTGAGTCAAAAGTCTCAGCTAAGGTATACTTTATCATGCAATATTGTAACACCAGAAATAGAAATAAGAAAAGATTTCAGAGAGAAAAAAACCTACTAAAGTACAGGATTCTGTGATTATAGAATTCCAGCAATACAGAGAAAAATCAGATTATTTCTGAAGGACTTTTTAAAAAAATCCTTTACAAAGAGCGATTTAAAACTTACAAAATTAGAAAATCACAAACATTTCTGAATATATTTATATTTGTACATTATGGTCATAAGTATATGCCTTCAAACATGTATCAATTTTTTTCATCAATTTTTTTTCATTTTTTTTCATTATGAACAGGTATCATTTAGTTGTGTGTGTGTGTGTGTGTGTGTGTGTGGTGTGTGTCTGTGTACAGGAATGCATGCGTTTGTGGAATACTTCAGAAATTTTCATGTCATTCTTGTGCAGGGGACATGCTAAACCTCTCTGTATCATTCCGATTTTAGGATGTGTGCCACTGAAGTGAGTACTACTTTTAATATAAATAGTAATAGCTAAAAAATTGCCATATATATATATTTTTAATGTTACAAATAGTGGCCACATATTCTTCACTTCAGTAGTAGAGACCACAAAGTTTCTAAATCACTAACTATCCTGTGCTGGACCTGAAGACACTAGAAAGTAAAATGTTGATATATTGACAATTATTTAAGTGTTAGATGTTCTAGAAAGTATTAAATGTTTTCATTTTTAACGATAGTGGAAATGTACCAATTTGAAACACATGATAGTGACTGAATATTGTTCTTGATAATCATGGGTTTCTGTATAACACTGAAAATCACTGAAGAACAGTCTTCAAGAGAAGGGGAACTTAAAAAAAGATATTATTGTATCATTTGATTCATTCCTATGTTATGGTCTAGGTATCAGCAAACCAGAAAATTTAGCCTGCACATTTCCAAAAGATATTTTCTAAAGTCATTACTAATATTCTGTTTTTTATTACTTCTCCAAGAAAGTCATCTCTTTCTTCTTCCCCTCTTTTACATTGAATATGTATCTTGATAGCAGGAAATAAAGAAGATAAATATGTTTTCTTGACATCAAAATGAGATTTTCATAAACAATGTGTTTCTATGGCTGTCGTGCTTATGTGCGTGCCTATGTAGTGTTAACTTCATCAGTTTTAATCCTTAACTGTACTATCAGAGATTACGGAGCACAGGCTTTCTATTTATAATCTCATAGAAGTGATTTTTGAAAGAGGAATAATCTTTGTTGTGTTATTTACTGCATGCAATACAGCTCAATAAATAAATTGCACGCAGATACAGTTTATTGTATGGAGAATCTTTACAGAGCAAAGATGACTTGCACTTGCCTGTTCAGCACTAATCCCTCATGCTTTTTGTATTTGTGCCAAAGTACTTTTGGTAATATTAATTGAGAGGAGCCATGTGGTGTTTTAAATAGAGTCATGGGAATTTGTCGCATTATACAACTGGGTAACTATACAAAACATCCATCGGTACTGACCACACCATCAAATATTGCATCGTGGCGTCAACCCAAGACATTACATTTATCTAATCATTGACTTTACATTTACCTCAATCTATTTCAAGACAAGAAATGAAATGCTTGCTGCAAAATTACATTTCCAGCAATTTCTGATAAAGGAAGGAGATGAACTTTGAATGGAGCAATTGTTTTCTAAATGGATTTTTAAGACATGGTGTATTGGGTCTTGAGTTCATTGATTTGAATGGGACCAAGAGACAGGTTGAAAGGGGACATCTCTCCAGTAGAGAGAGTTGGAAGGAGATTGCTTGTTCCCTGAATCAAAGGTCTCAAGCCAAACTGAAAAACCTGCTCACAGAGCAAATTTCTTTTGATTCTTTAAAATAAAATTTCAAAATCCTATAAGCATGAGGACATCTTATATCTTTTAGGACATTTTAAAGAGAAAAACACATTAGTTCAGTACATGGTTCAAAGGAGTGGAAATGGGATATAGGACCTTTCACCCCGGGTTACCATTTGATGAATGCCACCCAGCTTTAAAGTGATCATAATTCTTTTTATTGTGTTGCACTATAGTAGTTTAAGGAATAGTCATAAGGTTTTCATCAAAGTGGGAACACTTGGATCCTTACATTCCCAATTAAAAGGATTTCTGAACCTCAAAAAAAAAAAAAAAAAAAAGAAAAAAGAAAAAAAGCCACGCTAGTTGTTTGTGAGGATACATTTACTTATAATAAACCATGAGGATAAAAGGATGTTTTCCCTAGCTAAGTGTCTAATTTTTATTATGAAGTAGGCAGACATAAAGTCTTTAATTGCCTTAGCCCCAGCTAAAATAACTACAGATACTTTTTTCATTCACTAAATCAAATCTAGTTTTTTAAATGCCACTGCACTATTTGCTGTAGTGTTACCCTGTGGAAATAAATTAAATTAATACAAAAGCTTAATCTGTTTCTTATTACCATTAACTTTTTTTCCTCATCCTTTCAGAAGATAAAAGGTAAATAATAATATACAAATAATATTTTTCCCTGTTCATGATTTTAGAAGTTCTGTTTCTCCATCACTAAGGCAAATGAGTTTGCTTTTGTTTTTAATAAATGCTTCCCATTAGAATTTAATTTAAAAACACATAACACAGCCATACTAATTAATGAGTGACATGGAAATCCCAAGCTATTTCAACGAGATACTGAGAGGTTCTTGTGTAGCCAGTGGTCAGTTTTACCCCAACCTTGCTTTCAAACTGTTGCTGAGTTCAGGGGATGGTTATGTCCCAAGAATTTCCCATCAAGGGATTTTGCCTTTAAAAAGCATCTGATGGGACTATTCAGGGATTCAGTAGATGCATTCTATTTAAAGAATCAGGTCAAGCACCATTGTGGCCCAGAGAGTTACTTTTTTTTTCTAGATGAAGAATGTTAAAAAAAAAAAAAAAAAAAAAAAAAGAAGTGCTTAAAAAACAACAACGAAAACATCGCAATGTTCTCCTTGTGAGTAAATGCAGGGTTATTAATCTGATTTTGAATTCATGATCCTGTGGTTCAAAAAGTGGTTTTTTTCCTCTACATGGTTCTCCCTCCAAATTATAGATAAAGTAGCTAGCTTTAAATTGGAAAGTGCAGGGGCAACTAGATGGATGGCTCAGTGGGTTAGGCGTCGGACTCTTGGTTTCAACTCAGGTCACGATCTCAGGATCCTGTGATTGAATCCTGCCTTAAGCTCCCTACTCAGTGGGGAGTCTGCTTGAGATTCTCTCTCTCCCTCTCCACCTGCCTCTTCCCACACCATGCTCTCTCTCTCAAATAAAATCTTTGAAATGGAAAATGAATTGTTATTGGCCATTTCAGATTTATAAATAATCCACTCAAAGGCTTATAAATGGATGGAATAAAATTCCAATGATTTCAAAGTGAACCTGAGAGGTGGTATTTTAATCGAAACAGGTGAGATGATAGAGTGAAAATGTGTTCAACTTTCTCACTTCTTTGGCGTTCAATATTCAGAACTGTTCTTTCTCTTTTTCTTTCTTTCTTTCTTCCATCCTTCTCTCTTCTTTCTCTTGTTCTTTCATGCTCTATTATACTTTTGACTTTTCCATTATTGCTTCATTTTTTGGAGAAGACTAGATGGCATATATCCTAATGGCTGTTAAAATTGAATTTAAGCATACTTACAAACAGATTGATGTCAATAAATTATATTCCTGAAGTGCTTAAGCACATAACAAATCAGTACTGAACAAATTTTAGTTGATGGTGTTGAAAATCATGTTTAATGGTGGAGTTATAAGTTCAGAGCTGAAATTTTAAAGCTCATACCCTAATTGAAAATGGTGATTTCAATGTGCAATTCATCATTTTATATTCTTGCATCAAATCTGCATCCCCACAACTATGAAAAAACAAATTTTTAATGGATTGTCAGGGATTACATTTCACAATACAGAGTTATCAAAAATGATAACTAATAATAGACCGTATTTATGCATTATGCTTCAATTTCTCCAGTTTTGCCGAGATTGTACAGAATATGGAAAAAATATTTTTGTATGTTAGCTACACATAAATACACGGAAATACTTATTTTTAGCATGTTCCATATATGGAGTCACTTTTGTAGTTGTTTTTGTTTAGAATTTTGTTTTCATTTTATATTAGTTTAGCTCTTAACTGTGGTCACTTTGTCCTTAAGTTATCTATGATATTAATTCAAATCTACATTCTACAGTGTTCAGAAATTTAATGACAATATATACCCACCCACCTCTGCTTCAGGATTAGGGTACACACATTTATGGCTTACATCATCATACCTGTCTCTAACTCAAAGCTTCTCCTTCAACAAATTAATAAATTTCATGGATTAAATCCATATCCTACCCATACTTTCCATTCCACACGCACGTGGATGTAAAGTTGTCCATTCATGAAACCACACCTAATTTCATGAGGTATTTGTGTGTGCTGAATAATTTACTGAACAATTAAGAAATTGTAACAACATTGCTCAGTCTATTTTAGACTGAGTTACTGAACACTACATCTGAAACTAATAGTCTATATGTTGGCTAATTGAATTAAAAAAGAAAGACTGATAGCATTTATTTTTCTTAAAGAGTTTTTTTTTCTGCTCTTAAGTCTTCACTAGTAAATTATTCACTTGTTATGTCTGCTCAAATACTGTATGTTTTTATAATGCTTTTTGATTGTTTTTCCTTCCTTTCATCCCTTTTCATTTTGGAGAAATCATTATAGAAGCAAACAAAAATGTTCTATACATTTCTAATACAAAGGAATTTAATCCTCCCTTAATTTTTCCCCTCTTTATCTAGACTCTGCCAGCAGCTCTTTTTCCATCAGATGTTTCTAAACAAGGACAGTTAATCCTCAAGACAAATTCTTGTTCTGTTTTTCAATGTTGTAAGTATTTACATGGTTAAAATGTGAGAGTTATTATTCGCTTCTTTCTGTGATAATATGCCTGTTTTATAAAAGCCTACTTATGATAACAAATATATTAGAAACAGTACAGTTCATTTAACATTAATAGGTGGAATTTGTTGCCATATACAATCCAGTTTTTCAAGATCATATCTTCCCCTAAGAATATGAGAGCCTAGTAACCACTGAGCAATTTTGTCATTGATTGGTCCCTAGCCAAGTAACATATAGTTAATTGTCATCTTGGAATCAGTTTTCTTTCAACTGTAAACATAGGACAATACCACCAATGGAATCTTAGTTAAATTCACACATTACGATGGCAGTGTCTTCAGTGGGTACCTTTTTGTTTAATTCAGCAATGTGTGCATTTCCTGCTATGTGCCAATCATAACATAAGATCCTGAGATTATAATACTTTATACAAAAGACACAGAGCCCTCCCTCATGAAGCTCATTAATAGACAAGGTAGATCTATCTCAAAGCCATATTTTTTTTTGGCAGTTCAGCTTCCAGTGTCCTAAAAATCAGTAATCCCACGGCAGGTGCTTCA